CGTAGAAGGTTCAACTGAATTAACGGGACTTTCAGTAGCACGCCTTTACAGGATGGTATGCTGCTTTCCTTAGACGGAAGATAAAAGAAGATCACAGATCAAAAATACATTTCCGTGTTTTAACATTTTTATGAAGGAAGTATAGGCATGAAATGAAAATAGAATCGAGGGGGGAAAGCAGCCACTCTCTTCCAACTGAGATTGAAAGAAAGTGTAAAGGGGAAAAAATGCTTTTGTCCTTTTTGTTTTTTTTATAGAACCTTGCTTTTTTAATATATCCATTTTGTGTCACATTTCATGTGGCATTTAGGTGATCCAGGCAGTTGGGGTTGTTGTTGTTGCTACCAAGTTTATTTGGTCATTTTCTTTGAGGAGTCATTGTTTTGTTGCTACCAAGTTTATTTGGCCATTTTCTTTTTGGAGTCATGGTTTTGTAGCCATTTATATTCCTATAATTTTGTTTATTCCATGAAGTCATTTTGGCATCTTGTTTTGTTGTCCCTCCTTATTCAGATAGTTGTCAGAGCAGGTGATATTGCATTGAAAGACCTGCAATGAACACATTTTTTCAGTGTTCTCAGGAAGATGGAGTTGGGTTTTATTACTTATTTCACTTTTAATTTCCGGTGTTTACAATTTACATTTGAGACTTCTCAGCTGATTACCCACTTTACCCCCCGTAGGGATATGTGCCAGTCAGTCACATCAGAGAGAAAAATCTGGAAGGCTTCCTCTGGTGCACGATATGTCTGATTCTGTTGCTGGTGGTCAAACTTTATGAATGCTTTGATAATCGTGAGCAGGAACTATTCTTCCAGGAGGGTCTTTTGAAAGCTGTTCGTTAATATTGAGAAACACTTCCACGAAGCTCAGTGTGAAGTCCAGAAACATGCTTATGGGTTGTTTCTGCTTGCTCACATAACATCGATCAGAATAAAAACACCTGATTTGGAATTCATATTAACTGCAAACTCGTTCTCTGGGGTTTTATCTAGATTTTATTCAGGCCGACAGTAGTTTAATTTTAAGGTAAACGTCATCCACATTTGTCCGCATGTCCTAGAAATAAAACCAATGTTAAATGTAGGTGTGATTGATAAAAAAAAATTATATAAACTTCTACATTTTATGTTGCCAATATTCCAAATCACATTTAGACATCATTCATCTCCTTAAATCAAAAAGAAAATCCCACAAACAACTGTCGACCCATTTAAGGTTATGGCGTAGTCCTAGAACCGTCTTATATACTATATAGATAAATGTCTTCATGCATTCACCTTTTATGAACCATGGGATGGCGGCAAGATGAGCGGTTCTCCAAACTGAAAAGCAGTGGTGGACTTTAGCCACATGAGGGAGCTAAAGTATTGAGATTTTCCAGGTCAGGAGAAAAATTAACACAGTTCAAAATGACTGATGTAATTAAATATTGAGTGTTCAGCAAAGCAGCCACGTGTTGTGAAAGATTGGCATTTTTATGAATGTATATCTGCTCGATTTTTTCGTTGACATAGTAAGTTGATGAGGTCCTCTAACAAAGTCGTACCAAACTGACCCAGGGTCACAGCTCAAACTGACCTTTTTGAGCAGACTTTAAAAAAACAGATGGAAAGAGCACAAACGAATCACAACACAAGCTAACGTGTCTTCTGGGTTGTAACCCTGCTTGTTTTGGTCGAATTAAGCTGAAAAATGTGGTCGATTGTGTCTTTGAGTTGCACCTCTTGTGCCAGGACTAATCTCCACCAATAAAAACAGCAGCTAAAATAGAGTGATATGCGACACCGTGCTGATATTACACCGATATTTCAGTGTAACTTGTGTACTCGCAGTTATCACAGCTTAGATAAACTGCATGAAATATAGCTGTTTCTGCTTCTGCCATCCTACTTACGATTTCAGAGGTGCTCTGTCTTCTTCCATGAATGGGTTTCCCTTGTTGCGGGAGCATTTCAGATAAAGTCTCTGCTTGTTGCAGCCTGTGGAGGCGTGACGGGTGAAGCTCGCTTGTTGGGAGTGAGAGCTCCAAAAGGAAAGCAGTCTGACATAGACACTGACTCCCCTGTAAGGAGAAACAGTCAACAAAGAAGACAAAGGTTTCAATAACCATCTGTTGAAGAATATTACATGTATAACATTTCTCATATGATCATCTTCTGCCAAAGCCTGAGTCTGACCAACCCATGAAATGATGGGGCCCACCACTAATGGGACCATTTGCCCACAGTTCTGTACAAACTGTCTGCTACAGACATGAACAGCATGCAGAGCAGTAAATCTATTGGCCCACAGTGTTTCAGTTTTCTCTCTTTATTGGTTGTCGGCGCACTCTGACAGGAGGGACGTGACCAGGCAGCGTCTTCCTGCTTTGGTACCTGACTGATACGGTTATTACCACCGCGTACAGATTTTCCTGTCGCGTCTGAGACTACAACAGGAACAATCAGGTGCAGGAGTTGGATTTTGGCACTTGTTCTCCTCTGTTGAATTTGAAAAGAAAAAAATTGTGTGAAATATCCAAAGGTGCCCATTGGAAAATCTCTCTGAAATTCATTGAAGATGAGTCCAATCAGCCATATTGTTCTCTGTTGGTCTCCAAATAAAGAGGATGCATGTCAGTGAAATGTGTGAAACACTTTAGAAAAGAATGGAGGGTATTTAACATGTAATGAGAGCCTCTCATACTTATACCTAATTGCCCCCCTGGAGTCCAGAGAACATGACATGCTGACATGAGTTTAAGGAATGTATGAATTGCCTCCTGTTGTCCAGGTGACATTGCGAGCCCAAACCATTTAGAGTGAACAAAGCTGAGATCTTAAGATGTGTTTGGATGGTAAAAATTAGTCAGCACAACCCTGCAGTTTTGTTCAAAGCATAGAAACTAACATTCTTTATACCTTTGTCTTGCGGTTCTTTTGTGTTTATTTCCAAAGAACTGTCAAGTCAGTATTATTGATTTATTCGTACACAGTCTGAACACTCAAAGATAACTTTCTGGTAATTCCTTTGAGTAGTTTTCAAGAATCTTTCTCTGGGTTCCTTGAAGGATATACCAAACATCTTCTTTTCATGTTTGCTGCCTTTTGTATCAGGATGATCAAGATGAATGTTTCTCAACATGCTGAGACACAGTATGTATTCATTTAACAGGTCTTTGGGATTTGCTTTAACTGGTGTAGATTTTTCTGTCAAAATGTGCTATCTCTTTTCAAAGCTGGAACTCAGAAGAGGGAACAAATTATTTGTCTTTGCCACAGACTGCTCGTAACAAAGTGCTTAAAAATGTATTTGCTTCATAGTCTGCGAAGGACACACTGTTTCATCAATTGCATTAGGTGGCAGTTTCATCGTCTTTGATTTCTTCGAAGGTGAATTCCATGAAGGGAACATATGCCTCTGTGGCCTGAAGAGGACAACACTTTTATCCTATTACACTTTACAAAAAAAAACTTTTCTTTGACTTATTTGAAAAGCGGCACTCATCTTTCTGACCCGCATATCTTTGACCTCTTTTTCAGTTCTGTGCTTCTCCACAAAGGAAGTCAAGAAACATTTCCTCTGGATGGTAGACGGGGGGAGTCAGAGAAATGGTCAGCGCTGTAGCATACAGTGGATGCCATTTGATAAAAATGGATGCGGGGCATCACTCATTCTTTTGATTATCAAATGTCCAAAGTCTTCTCCCTGGTATTCATTCATTTGAATTAAATTTGTTATTATTCAACAACATTCATATGCTGCAATATTTGCTTTTATAATATGGGTTTTTCTGATTAACTTCCAAATAGGCTTTTTCAGTTTTTCTTTAATCATTCATCATCTTCAATGTTGCTCTATTTTTTTCAGAGAATGCAATTTTCTTCACATTGTTTCAGTACTAATGCGACTCATGACCATGAAAACAAAATATATAAAGTATATAAATTTGAATATACAATAGTTAGTGTTACGATCAAAGACCCACACTCCCCGCTAACGGCGACAAAGAAAATTCCAGGGAGTTTTCATTTCTCCAACGAAACCTGAACGCAGCATCTAGAGCGATGAATTGCGGGTTGGGAAGGACGGTGACAACAAGAATGGACGTCGATCGAATATAGCCTCGTAAGACTGACAATTCATACGCTGCCGTGTCGGAATACGCGCAGGCAGAATATAGCGATGAAGAAAGGATGTAAAACCGAACCACCCCGACGAAAACTGTCAATTCCGAACAACGGTAGCTAGGTCGGTTGCTAGGTTAGCCTCAGTAGCGCCACAGCGTACGTTAGCTGAGTGTAACGTCAACGGTTTGACATTGGTTGTCATTATGATGATATTGTTATGCCCTGTGTTGCTTTTGCTAATTTAAATGAGACGTCGGGTTTCGCATGTATTTAGTCGACCGAAAAACATTAGTTCTTCCACCCCCTCCATTTACTCTGAGCTGGATTTCTCGGGTCAGCTGTTGTTTGGGGGGCGGGGTGGTGTTGTCGATTCAAAACACGGCCATTCGTCCTCTGTTCCGAGCAGAGCTGCAGCCTCGTTGTCGCTATTGAAAATTCACGCCGTTGTGGTGAACTGAGCGAACGTTGTGTTTTCATTATGATGGGGATAAATGTCGCTGGTCGTAGTTGTAGTTCTCCGAACGGCCTCGGGTAGTCGCTGTTATGTGTTGACTCGAATCAAGGATGTTTACTGGTTCCAGTTCGATTCAGTGGATTCCATAGAAAGACAACTAACTGAGTCCTATTGTAAACATCTTTGTGGCATTTTTTATGGATATCCTAATTGATGAAATGGGTCTCTAGGACTGTAAAATATTCAATTACTGCACAGGTCGAATATTCATCCTTGAGAGTCTGTCAAAATGATTGTGGTCATTTGGAAAGGAAATGCTGTTTGGCAGCTGTGAAATCGGTTGTTTTCTTGGTTCCAGGTCATCCGTGTCAGACCTCTGACTGGCACGCATCTGAAGAGAGGCGAGTGAGGGGGGGAGGCCGGAGTTCAGATCCATGGAGGCTCGCTTTGGTAACATCGTCTTCAGCTCCAAGTTCGATTCGGGGAACCTGGCACGAGTGGAAAAGGTAGAGAAGGTCGGCTCGAGCCCTCCCTCGGACACGGCCTCCGGTGGGGGCTCCACCTCGGGGTCGCAGCTGACCCCTGACTATGAGTTCAACGTGTGGACGCAGCCCGACTGCGCCGGGACCGAGTACGAGAACGGAAACAGGTGACAGGAGTCGTTGGATCGGTTGTTTTGTTATTTAGCGCCGGGTGGGGAAACGCGTACAACAATTTCCGCTTTCTTTCCCAGGTCATGGTTTTACTTCAGCGTGAGGGGCGCAGCGCCTGGCAAGTTAATGAAGGTGAATGTGATGAACATGAACAATCAGAGGAAGCTCTACAGCCAGGGCATGGCTCCCCTGGTACGCACCACACCTGGCAAAAACCGATGGGAGAGAATTCGAGACAGACCCACGTGTGAGGTGGGTGCCCGCTTTCCGAGTAGCATCAGTCGCGCTGTTATTGTCACTGACTTAATGGGACTCTCCCCTTCTCCCCTTCTGTGGCTAATGTCTAGATTGTGGATAACCAGTTCATCCTTTCATTCACTCACCGGCTGTTGGAAGTGCGTGGGGCTACCACTTACTTCTCCTTCTGTTATCCGTTCTCTTACACCGAGTGTCAGGAGCTGCTTCAGCAGTTGGACCAGAGTCACCCCAATGCTGCTCAGCTCAGTCCGAGCAGGTAAACCCCAGAAATGTCACATTTTTGGAAAGTAGCTTCAAGAGGTTTATCTCGTTTTATTTTGTTTACTTAACTGTAAATGTTGGCTCGATAGATTTAGACTGAAGCATCTTAGTTTGTGTGGACCTGCGATGTACCCCGCCTCTGGCCCATTGAATACTGGGATAGGCTCCAGTCCCCCCCGAGACCCCATTTGGGAATAAGCGGTAGCGATAATGGATGGATGTCTTAGTTTTCTATATTTTTTTCTGCCAATCTGTGTCGTCTTTTCACCCCAGCTAATGGTCCGTGTTCTGTCAGCCCACCAGGCACTGTGTATTACCATAAGGAGCTGCTGTGCCACTCCCTGGACGGTAACAGGGTGGACCTCATCACTGTGACCAACTGCAGCGGGATGCAGGACGAGCGGGAGGCTCGTCTGCCCAAACTGTTTCCTGATATCAACACCCCAAGACCGCACCGCTTTTCTGGAAAGAGGGTACTCTTCTTTTCCTACTTGTCTTTGGGGCTGCATATAAAGCTAGTCTATGCATTCACCCCTTAATCCAGTTTACCAATCGTGTGCCTGCAGGTGTTTTTTCTCAGCAGCCGTGTGCATCCAGGGGAAACCCCCTCCTCCTTCGTGTTTAACGGTTTCCTCAACTTCATCCTGAGGAGGGACGACCCACGAGCACAAGTACTGCGCAGCAAGTTCGTGTTCAAGCTCATTCCCATGCTCAACCCGGACGGGGTTGTCCGTGGACACTACAGGTAAGAAGTGACTCAGTTTGGGCCTCAAAAACAGTGGGATTACATAGCAGTTCGGGGTAGCTTTACTTTTAAAAGCATCTCATTGCAGCTTTAATACACTGACTGGTTATGTTGTTACTTAGAGGGAAAGCTTAACTCTAACTGGTTGGAGTTATCAGGAGTTACCAAATATGAACATTCGTTTTCAGGTCCTATTAGCTCTTATGAATAATAAATAATGCACTGGCTGGTGCTGACCTAACCTGTTTTTATCCTGGATCTTTGCCTTGAGATGTTAAGAATGACACAAAATCACATTTCAGCACCCAGTTTTCAAATATGTAGCAAATCAAACGTGTGGGGCTCAGTTCATACAACGTAACAAGTATTTCATTCAGCAGACACACGCTGTTGACCTTCTATTCATTCATCACTGGAGGTTCAGACATTTATTCTTACAGTTTCTTAGTGCTGTTATAGGCACCTGGACTCAAATGAAAAATTCTTGGCTGCTGTCTAAGGAAACGTTTGGATCGTTACTCCCCTCATATCACAGGTAGAATAGAAAGTGTCAAACTAAAAAAAATGCCAGACATAGTGTCAGTTAAATTGTTTTTTTTCTTCATGGTCACCAGTAACCGGGACGTCTTTACCTTTTTAAAGGAATTGAAGAAACCAACTATGCTGATCAATGTACGGCCAATAAATGAGCTTTAACAATGAGAAATCAAACCAGATAAATAGTTTCTTAAAGCAGCTCATCTGATTGTGTTAACGTAGCTTTTACGAGACTGGGTCACTGCAGAAGTCTGGTTGCTCCCTGGTTACTTGAGTACCCGTTTGACAAGCCTCTGCCGGTCGTGCGGAGGGTAGAGGAGTCACCCGTGTCAGGTGGCAGGCGTCGGCCCTTGGAGCAGATAGAGGCCAAAGCAGGGTCATTGTGCAACAGGCGGGCGGGCAGAAGCGGTTTCACTGACCTCACCTGTCTGTTGATTCTCAACCTCATGCTCATCTATATCTTATGCAGCATCCATTCTTCCATCATTCCATCCATTTTCCTCTCCTTCTTCATCCTGTCCATGGTCCCAGAGCTACATCCTGGATAGGTCGTCTGTCGTATGTGTTATAATTAATAAAGCAGTTTTAAATGTAACATATCAAGTCCATCACAGGGAGAAAAGGTTCTGCAGAGTTTCCCACGGCTCCCCTCTCATAATGAAAGTTTTTTTTTAATGCTCTAATCGTTATTTGTTTGGTTATTTGTTTGTTTATTTGTTTGTTTTTCCAGAACTGACTCCAGAGGTGTGAATTTGAACAGGCAGTACTTGAACCCCAGCCCCGAGCTGCACCCCTCCATCTACGGGGCCAAGACCCTGCTGCTCTACCACCACAGGCAGAACCGCGTGCACGGCGCGCACGCACACAGCACCACGCAGCCCGCCCCCTTAAACACCAAAGCCGCGAACCAGCGTCCGTCTCCGCCCCTCACCGCCCTGGAGGTCAGCCTGAACCAGCGCAACGCAGAGAAAGACGGGCCCCCCGCGCCGCCGGAGGTTCCCATGGTGATGGAGGAGAACAGCTGGGCCACCACCGATGGGGGGAAAGGAGACCAGAACAGCGCTTTAAGTTCCCCGGAGCCCGTAGCTCCCGTCACTGTAGATCTAGATGTAGCAGCACCACAGGTGGAGGAGCCTGAGCCAGTGCCACCCCACGAGGGGGGCGTGGCTTATTACGTGGACTTGCATGGGCACGCGTCTAAACGAGGATGCTTCATGTATGGAAATAATCTTTCTGATGAGAGCCAGCAGGTAAAAAGGATGATTTGAATTTTTTCAAATTTATTTAATTTCACCAATATTTATCCTCATTCAGCAACCACAGAAAATGACTTCCTGTCAAATCCTTTCATCTCCTCCCAGGTGGAGAACATGCTGTATCCCAGACTGATCGCTGTGAACTCGGCCCACTTTGATTTCCTCGGCTGTAACTTCTCGGAGAAAAACATGTACGCGCGGGATAAAAGGGACGGCCAGTCTAAAGAAGGCAGCGGCCGGGTCGCCATTCACAAGGCGATCGGGCTGCTTCACAGGTAGCGTGCAACGAAGGCCAGAACTGCCCAAATCTGAATCTACAGGATTTTCTTTTACTTTGGCCCGAATGTCCAATAGAGCTGCAACACCTGTTTGTCTTCATTTTAATATGAATAAATATTGAAATGTATATATATTTTCTTTTTCAGTTATACTTTGGAGTGCAATTATAACACAGGCAAATGCATGAACACCATCCCACCAGCCTGCCACGACAATGGTCGAGCGACACCACCTCCACCTTCATCATTCCCTCCAAAATACACTCCAGAAATATACGAGCAGGTAGGAAAAAAACTCAGCAGAAGTACTCAGTATTCTTCATGTCTTTAATTCTGTAAAAATTTCCAGGTGAGGTTATTGACGTTGTTGTGTTTCAGGTGGGGCGAGCCGTGGCGGTCTCAGCCCTGGACATGGCGGAGTGTAACCCCTGGCCTCGCCTCGTGCTGTCCGAGCACACCTGCCTCACCAATCTCCGAGCCTGGATCCTCAAGCACGTCCGCAATACCAAAGGCCTCAACGCACACTCTCACGCTCCCCCGAGAGTCCACAACAACGGCAGCAAGGCCTCGCCGCCCAAAAGCTTTAACAAGTGAGTGCCCGCGCGGCCTCTGAGGCCACGCCCGCCCGGTTGGGGTCACAGTTTGTTTTGTTTTTTTATCGTCTCTGCCTTGGTTTCCAGCAGCTGCCTGTCCGGGTCCACGTCGGAGAACACCCTCAGCCGCGCTCGCTGCAACAGCCAGAGCAGCAGCAGCCAGACCCCCTCCCCGAAGATGCACAGCTCTCCCAGCTTCACCTTCGGGTGCCCCCCCCCGCGAGCTCACGCGCAGCACAACAACACGCACGCTGGCGCACGGGGCACCCCCACCCCCCCTCCTTCCACCTGTTTGGCTTGTTAGTGGAGTTTTTTATATATATATTTATACAAAAAGCCTTTTTTTGTTTCTAATCTTCCCACTCGGTGGACTGCATGATGTCCCTGTTTTTATCTGTGCGTGTGTGTGTGGGGGAATGTTTGCATATATAGTCCAAATGGAAAGCTACTTAACAGATCCTCTCATCCAATAATGTCAAGGATTTGGTTCCTGCAAACCTGGGACACCTCTCCTTTACGGGTTTCTCCATTTTTTTTCTCTGCTTCCCATCATTGTTCTGTCAGAATGTAAACTTTGTTCTGGTATCTTCTGTGACCTCTGTTGAGTTAAAAAAAAAATTTTAAGAGCAGAGGTATATATATTTGTCTCCTATTGGAAAAAATATTAAACGCACTTAATGGGAAAAGGATTATGTTCACCTCTTCTGCAAACGGCTCATTGGTCCAGGGCTGCTTTAATAGCTTTTATATGGTAAAATTTCTCATCTTCTTCCTTTGTCCCTGATTAGTCACATCAGGTCCGTTGTTGGATTCTGGGTGGAGTTAGCGGCCCACAAATCTACTTTGATTTCTGTCTGATGGTATGATTTCTTGGAAGTTAAAGTCGGCTGTCAGTGTCATAAATGGGACGTTTCTTTGTTTCATTTTTAACAGATGAAAAATAAAACCCTTCAAAGAGCCGCTTTCTAATTAGTCATTGTTAGGGTTTCAACTGGGTCTATTTTAGGATGAGCGTGACACACGCACAAAAAGAAAAAGCATGGGCGACTTGACAGGGTCTGACAGCTTTCCATTTGCACTGTGCGTGCGCACGTGTGTGTGTGTGTGTGTGTGTGTGAGTGTGTGTGTGTGCATACAGTCCCTGCATGTTTCTGAGCTGGTGTGTGTGTCCCTCTCTGTAGACGCTAAGCCTCAGGAGAAAAGGCGCCTTCCCCACCACCGCTCCATCCTACGGTCTCCCGGCAACAGGCACGCACCCTCCCGCCCCCCACTGTCACCCCCCTCCTCTTCCTCCTCCTCCTCGTCTTCCTCAGTGTGTGCAGCCGGTTCCTGTCCCCTCCCGGCCTCCGTCAGCATGACAGGTCTGTACTCCCTCCAGCCCCCCAGCCTCTCCACCTTTCTACCCTCCCTTCAAGCTCTACCCCGCCCCGGGCTGCTCTCCAAACTGAGTCCCCTGCTCCTTCAGAGCCTTCCGCCTGCCACCAACTCTCCAACTGGGCCCACCCAGGACTGACTCGATCTCATCATGTCAGACTTTTGGTGTTGTTCGCGTTTGTGTGAATGAGGGAGTAAATCTCTGGAGGCGGGTGTGGTGAATTGTGTAAAGAGACCAGCACCTGCCAGCCTATGTGAGTGTGAGCGCGGGTGTGTTTTGTGTCTGTCAAAAAGAAATGGTGCTAGCTCTTTAACCGTTTAATTGTGATTAGCCTTCAGTCAAATACCGGTTATCCAGCTGTATCCTGATGTTTTTTTGTTGTTGTTTTTTTCATCGTGTACAGCCAACATGGTGGTGTGTGAAATGTGCATATTAATGGTGTACATAAATGTAGAGATTAGACCATAAATTATGTCCATAAAATAGCCACCCTTCAGTATGTGTACAAGCAAATAAGCTAAGGCAAATTACCATGTAATTGTGCTGATCTTTGGAGAGAAGCCAGAGCCGGCGGGTTCTTCATTCCCTCTTTTTATCACTTCACAAAGGGAAGCTACCGCTTACCATGTTGCACTTTCAATTTTCCAATGATTTGCTGGTTAGGGAAAGATGGGTGGGTCTGGAGAAATATTTAAGAGCGACTTCTGCTCTTTTGTCTCTTCTTATTTTGATTCAAAACAAGTCATGGGCTGGTCACGCCGTCCAGTCAGTCACTCAGACAAGGCCTGAGCTTTCTGTAGATTACATTTAATCACTAGCGTCTGATTTTCATCTCTAAGGAAGCGATTAACGCCGTCATAGCTCTGATATCTCTGTAACTCCAGCTCATTGAGCAGCCCACTACTGTCGCTGTTGACTTAGATCCTCGTGAATGATGTAACAGCACAGTTGATCCGAGATAACTGGGGTCGCTTCATGGAGCTAACAAGCAGTATCGTAGAGAAAAACAGTTTTAAAGGAGAATAGAAGAAAGTTGGCAGGTGTTTGGAACGTTCTGGTGGTAATCCAAAGTACATTTTGGTGTAAATAAAATGATCTTGCTTTTGTTGTTGTTGTTGATGCTACGTGCTTAATCAGACAGATGAAAAAATAAGTTCATTTTTTTCAATTTGTTCTATGTTGAACTGTGTACACAGCAGTGAACAGGTATGTGGTTGGTAGTCAATGGTTGACATTTGAGTTTTTGTAAGTAAGCTGATGGGAAACCACGACAACCTTTGGGTGTGTGTGCAAACCTCCCTGAGGACTGTCGTATCTGGATTTGACCACATTCCATTTTTGTGTGCTGCTCAATACTCGTGCAAATACTCAATATTGTTATTTATTTATTTAAATGATCAATTTATTTTAGATTCAGGCTGTCTCTAGGGGCAGTCTTTGATTTGATGAGAGTAGCATTTAGCACATCTGACACTGTCCGTTCAAGTGCTGTGACTCATTGTAGTTACCGTGTGCCTTGCTTTGTTTGTAAGCCGTGGGTTTCACGTTTCAGACGGGCTAGGGGGGATCCGTCTCGCCCCACCCGTTGTTGATCGGGGGACTCTCGTCCTGTTGGGGTTGTGCTGCAAAGGGAGCGCAAACACAGGGAAGAGTTGATCCAAATAACTGCCAGTTTGAATAAAAAGGGAAGGCATATCAAATTTAAGGAGCACATTCAAGAGAAGAAATGTATTGCAAGCTGATTGGTAGCAGAAAGAGTAGCCACAGAAAACGGGTCGCTCCCTTTCTGCTCGTTTTCATGCAGCCTTTACCTGCTGCCTTCAGCAGAGTGGGAGAAAACAGTTCTGTGCCCTTGGTTCAGGTCGGTGGCCGGGGACGCCAGATGGGCGTTGTGGAGTTTTGCTCTGCACTCTCACTGTGAACCTTGATGTGCTGTGCGCCATTTGTTTCAACCTTAAAGTGTCCCCCCCGCCGTCGCTGGAAAATGACAAAAGGCCGCCTGGGGTGGAAGCACTGTGCATAGCTGCGTAGATCTTTTACGCTTTGTCCTCCGTACGAGTAAATGTCTCGTACGCTGGACTCCCGCGCTGGATTAGATGTGTGTTTGTCCTTGTGAAGATCTATAAATATCAACCTGTGCTGAATGTGCTGTTGTCTTTTAATGCCTTTCTGTTTTAATTCTGGAATAAAAACTATCCGTTTGTGAAGCAAGCACTGTGTGTGGGTCCTCTGCTCTGTCTTTATTGTGTGAAAAATCTTTACTTTTCAGCTCAATTTAGAGACATAAATCAATGAGAATGGACAAACGTATCGCTCCTCCTCTGCTTCAGTTAGTCACTTTGATTTAAGCCACTATTTTAGAGGTTATACACAATGTTAGGCCTGTGCTTTTATTTCTGAGGGTACTCTATTTACGTCCCTACGTGTCATTGACAGGCATCAGCTGCCCAGATTTTAAGGCTGGAGGATGCAGCTCGGCAGGCCGGACCAAAATGCCTTTCCCCATAAGACCCGGACGAGCAGGCAGAGGCTGCCAAACTCTTACAATCACACACCCTGCAGAGGTGTGTAAAGAGGTTTGCTTACTCTGGTGACTCCCGCACAACCCAAACCTGATTGTGTCTCGCAGATGCTTAATATTTTATTGTGTCCTTTTTATCCCAGAGCTCTAAAGATCTGGGTCCTGAGCATATCCTGTCATCCATCAAATTTAGCAAGTAAGTTCAGTTTTTTTAAACATTAAGGTGCTGAAGAGAAAGTTATTTTGTTGTTTCAATGTGTGTCTTTTTTTCTTCTAGGTGTGATCTGCAGCCCCCCATGAGCCGTATCCCGATCAGGAAGTCCGGGTCAACGGACGCTCCTCACGCACACAACGCCAAAACATCCTCCTCCTCGCCCAGAGATAAGGAGGTGTCGGCCACCATGAAAGTGTGGAAGCTGCTAAGGCCCGGCATCCACAGGCACCTGTCACTGCCAGGCACATGTTCTCTCTCTACTTCGGTCTCACTTTCTGTCTTTGGCTTATATCGGTGTAAAAAAAAAGCACATTCATCCAACCACTACTGGCAGCTTTTTGGCAGATGGATAAAACCCTTCAAAATTCTAGATGAAGTTGATGCTTAGGAATGTCATTTTCGTTCAGGTCTATCACACCTTTGTTAGTAAGATTTCCACAATTGATGATTCCAGTAATCGTCAAGTGATTCGGCCTCCCACATATCCTCCAGCTCATGCACATCACTGGAAATACTGCATGCATGTACTCCTTGCTACTCTTAAATGCAGCAGATATTCACATTAGGGCAGGGGACACCCTGGACAAATGTCACCAGTCCATGGAGGGGCCACACAGAAACAACCAACCACACGCACTCAATCCTAGGGGCAATTTGGTGTCTCCAATTAACCTCATATGCATGTTTTTGGATAGTGGGAGGAAACCCAGAGAAAAATCACAAACTTTTTCCTTGCTACATTTTATTTTTTAAACTCATTTTCAACTTGAACAGGAAAAAATCCAAAGTCTCGAGAACGGAGAGGATAATATGTGATAATCGATGCAGCCACGAGTTTAACCGATGCACAAACGCTGCATCCTCCTCCTCTGATCTCATTTTTGTGTCCTCTCACAGGTGTGTCAGAAAAGGAGGGCGCCATGCAGCTGGCTGCTAAAGCGCTCCAGGGGAAGAGCACAGAGCCGAGCCTCCACCTAAAGGCCAACGCCATCCTGGAGAGCGCGCAGGAGACGGATGAAGCTCTGCAACAGGTGAAAGCCAACACGTGAACGTTCAGATGGAGGCAAACGGTGACCGTGAGCAAACCCTGAGAATTCCGCCTGGTGTTGTGTGTAAAGGTCGGGGAGACTGCGGCGGCGGCGGCGAAACCCGGGGCGGTGAACGTGTGCGACACGCTGACCCTGTGTGGAGAAGCCTAGGAACTGCACAGAGGAGCGGGAGCTAGTGTGTTAGTGTGCTCTGGTAACTGTGAGCCTACATTCCTTTTGTGACTTCAAACCTTTAAAAAAAAAGAAAATCAGAAAGCATCATAATAACAGAAGAATGTGCAATAGAGCTGTTTTATCATAGTTTGCTGAGTTTTCACAGGAAGTGTGTTCTCAGCCATCATATGCCGCATTAAGATCCCCTCCATAACTATTACTGAGCAGCTTGTTTTTTTGTTTTTTTTTTACCTAGAGCAGCTGAGGGTTAAGTGCCTTTTTGCATGACACTATCGCGGAGTTGGGGTTATAAATGTTTCTCATTTTTCAGCTCATCTAGTATGTGTAAACTTGAAATATCCCTTTAAAATGAAGGTATGTTCATAGGCCCTGCTGCCACCTCCCAGCAAAGTGATGTGAACGCACTGGCTAATCTTTTCAGTCACACACTCCGGTATAATTTCACAAGATGGCAGGCGATTTTTTTCTCTTTATTCTAAGCCACTGAGCACAACCGCACCTTTTTCTAGTGGTAGACGTAAAGACATTTCAGTGTGTAATTATTCCAAAATATTTGGTGCTTTTCATTCAGTGTTTATAAATGGTTTTCATTCATTGATTCTTGTGGACTTTTTCTCAGTGCTCAAATCATGGGTAAAATTGTAGACGGACACATTTTAAATTTAAAACATTACATTTTGAAACAGGTTGTACCCCACCTCTCACCCAGGGTAAGCTGGGATTGGCTCCAACTCTATTATAATGCTGAATTAGAACAATTAGGTGAAGAACACAGATGTTTTTGCAGAAGTGGCCTGACAACAATCAGTTTGTCAGATCAGTCTCAACATGGGCCGTTTCCCAGTTTATTCTATGATAAGTTGAATTTTCAACATTCAGTTATCTCAGTGCATTCCTTCATATGTGCTGCAAATCCTGTTGGTGCGCCTCATCACAGATTCAGCATCTTACATTTAAGAGTGATAAGTATGCTGTAGCGTACTGCTGTTAGCGTCAGCAGCAGATGTAAAAAAAACAAAACACTGCATGTGGAAATTAAACATTTTTATTAGAAAAAAAAGTAACTGTGCAAAGGAAGATTCATCTTAAGGGAGAGGGGACAGGATGAAAGGAATGGCGTTTCTAAAGGTGGTGGTTCCGATTCCCATCTCACCTGTAGGGTGGAAAAAAGGAAAGATCAAAACAGGTTAAAAGATGTTTTATTTTCTTTGTTTTTTTTAAGAGGATTACCCAAAATAATGAAGAACTTCAGTATGGCTCTCTTAAATTTCACAACAATGCAGAACAAGACTTCATGCAACAAGAAAGAATAGAGCTTAGTGGCTTGGAAAACTATATCATTTGGCATCTTGAAACAAGCCATTTGTACATAACAATTTCCATTATATATCGCAGGATTGTTCTTTAAGTGTTAGCGACTATGGGATTGGCTAAGTCAAATCGTGTTAGAAAATGCGTCCCCTTAAATTAGAGGTGCAAAACGAGAATTCTACGATACATTTGCATTTTTCCGAGGTTTCGATTGTACACGTCAACGCAACAACACACACACACACACGGCTGATGTACTCACCGCGGCACGGGGATCCTGTGGTACCCTACTCCTGCTTCTTGGGGTTATTGACAGCAACGTAGTGGTATAAAACCACCAGCAGGAACAACGACACGCCAAGCATGTTGGCAAAGATGGCCAGCTGTACGTCGGTCACCATTCTGAATGCGGACACATCAGACCGTGTTAGGTTAGTGGGTAACGGGAGATTAGGAATATAAATATTAAACCGCTTTTTTTTTTGTATTTACACTCAAGTCACGTGTAGTGCTAACTTTATATTAAATACATAGTTTACAAAAACGTGTTACAAGATCCGTAACCAATCAGGATTATTATTATTTTTGTTTTGTTAGTATAACACAGAGTCCAAATCACAGCGAATAGTCCACTGATGTTAGCTAGTGAGGTGGCTATAACTAGCATAACCAACATCTCACCAAACCGACCCGCGCTATGTAGCTACGTGAGAAGTTTCAAGTAGCCGATAAAGTAAATCAAGTTGCAATGCCATTGAAAAAGACTTAGCTCTTACCTTATCTCTTAAAATTGTACGTTTGTCTGTTGTTTCGAGCAACACTCCAGCTTCTCTGCAGCACTCGGACAAATCACCCTCTTCCGGTGTCGGCAGCCGAAGCCACGTCACGTTTAAGGGCTCTTAGAAATAGTGTAAATAGATCGAACGCGTTCGAGAACAATGCCGTTTAAACTTCTCTACAGCTAATACAATTCATATTGTATTAGTATGTGTCGCTAAACCGCAGCATATATATTTAAAATGTCTAATTTCAAGTAAGGTCAACGTGATTTAAAAGTACTTATTTTAATATTTTCCCTTGTGTCCTCCAGGCCTGAGGGGGGCAGCAGTGAGCTCTAGCTTACGGCACCGAAAGGGGTCGAGCTGAGTAGGAGTGGCTTCAATGGTACGACATCACCTCACCCGGCGTGAACGACAGTCGGCGGCTAAGCTAGATGGTTCTCGACAGCTAGCGTCAGGAATTTGCATTTCCCAAGCGAGGAGATATCCATTGGACTCACATTTGAGCCCGACTGTACCACCATGGCTCTGTACGAATATGTCACTCAGGAGCAACTCGCGGGCTTCGACAAATACAAGGTAAGACTGGTGTATACTCAGTAGCATGCTATCAGCTAGCCATTGAGCCGACAGGCGTATGTGTGTTGAGCAGCTAGCTGTCACGATCTGCGGGGTGCCTCTCCGGCAAAATGTGAAGAATGTCGCAATCATACAGGATATGGGTTACTTGTAACCATGTAAAAATAATGTCCTTTCAGTAGACAGTCATACGATCTTGGGCATGGTACGTTGATCCTGACCGCACCCTGACCGCTCTCATCATGTTGTCCTTTTTTGGAGCTATCATAGCTTCACATTTACCTCAGAACAGTTCTTCTTGGAAACGGATCCCGTGGAAAGACTGGGAAGCGGTGAATTTTACTTTTAAAAACCGTGCCCGGAAGTGCCATTGTGTGCCATTTAGGGCTTTGCATTGGCGTAAATGAGCTAGTCGCTAGCCACCCCTTTTCTGTTAGTGTAAGGTTTTTCATACATATTTAACCCCCCTCACACACACAGACACACACACACACATTCTCCCACGTTTCAGTGATATGTTTTACTTTTTTTTCCACAGGTGATGTTTTTTTTTTTTAACTTTCGCTTTTTTTTATCCAGCCATGGGAATTGCTGCCAAGCACGCCTGAAAGTGAAACCCCTCAACTTGTCCATAGAGCAGTGATGGACAGAGAAACAGAGACTGGCTTGTTTGGTCGCCTTTAAAAGAGTCACACTGGACGGGAAACCGTGTAGGGAAAGAGTCGTCAGTAAATCCACCTGTCAGCGCTTGTCTGGGGCTTGTGGGGCTTTTGAGAGAGCAGGTTGAAGCACACCTACATGGAGCCTGAGACAGAAAAGGAGAGACAATTGAGATCAGAATTTTGACTTGGTGCTATGCAACAACAGATCTGCCTATAGCTCTCATTCTGACAGCAAGCCTCTCTTCATTAGGCTCCCGCCTCCTTTTATCACTGCATGGATCCCGGGGCTATTTATAAAAGCACAATAGTGTTTTTCCAATAATTGCCTTTTAAGTGCCTGCTTCAGCGTGGTTACTACAGTGCTCCCGGCACTGGTTGCTGCAAGGCGGCAGAAGAAGATAAACGACAGTGACCGATAGGACTGCAGCCCTCTTAAACATGGAGGTTTTCCCTCCTTTGTGGTGAACAACGGCATGCATACAGGAAAACACGCGACAGCAGGAACAGACCATCTCGCTATAGTTTTTCTTCCTGATGTCTATCTCCCAGCTTCCCTTGCCCTATATCACATTTAACACACAGCAGCGCTGCCTCCCAGTCGCATGACAACATGGTTTTATCTTTGTTCGTGCAAGATAAGGGTTATGAATCGTGTCACCCGTGTTTTTCATGTGTGGACGTGGCCATTATCCCATCAGTAATTGTTGTTATTTTGAGGGATACCCTTCTTTGATATCACTTGAAATGATCTGGACACAACCAGGAAGGCATTACACATTAGTTGAAAACAAAGCTCTAATCTGATTTTTGTTTTGTTTTTATTTCCCAGTGGACTAGATGCTTGATTGTGGAGCAGAGCATGAGCTTGTCTTGCCGGTGAATGGTGGTTGCGTTAATCATTAAGTTGCCTGTAGGTTTTAATGATGATGAAATACGATCCTTCTCTTGTTCAAAAAGAATAAAGTAAACAGGGAAAATGCCTCCAGGAAAGTGTTCTGCAGCCCTTCCCATTTGTTGAATCCTTTACCTATCAGACTGTTTATGCTGCGCGGGGTATCAGAGGCATGCCTTTCATGCCTGGGTGAAGTTACCCAGGCTGGAGTCAGGTTTGTTTGGATCTGCGTAATGACTAACCTCCAAAATAGCTCAGGACAGGAGGCCTCGCAGCTTTTGCGTTGGTTCACCCAAGAAGAAGGCGACAAAATAGTAACATTAAAGGCCCAATTTCATTTGTTATGTGCTTTGGACAGCAACTTACATTTAAACAGGGAATCTACAGCTCCTGGTGGTGTCTGGAATTGAATGCCACACTTGTGTGTCACTTGATCTTTGAGCTCAGATTTACCATGGCGATGGAAATTTGGACACAAAAGTCACGCTTAAAGCACAAACAGTAACCAGACTGGAAGCTCACACTGGCACACAACAACTAGCTCGGAAAGAAGGTTTTCACTATGTTTTTTTGTTTTTGTTTTTGCAGTACAGTGCTGTGGACTCGAATCCTCTGTCTGTCTACGTTATGCATCCTTTCTGGAACTTTGTGGTGAAGGTAAGAGAATAAAGCATCCAGCGCCGTCTTCCCGTGCACGCCACGCTTCATTACAGAGGTTTGCAGTTTTCTGCCTCAGATGCAGTGAAAAGGTGACCCCCAGTTGTCATATTCAGCTCCAAAACCTCTCCTCTGCCTGATTTGAATCACCTTTATCTATTCATCTGCTTTGATTACTTTATTTGACCCTTTATTTGGAGAGATTCACGTCTGCCTAGAAAATCCTCTCTGCCTTAAAATCTGTGTTGCAGTGTGTGTGTGTGTGTGTGCAGTTATTTAACCTGTCACTATAGGGAGAAAACTAAAAAAGACCACATAATACCTGATTTACAAGTTCAGGAAGTGTTCATTTCTCTCCACAGTTTCTACCAACATGGCTGGCCCCAAACCTCATTACGTTTACAGGCTTTATGTTCCTCGTGTTGAACTTCGTCATGTTGGCGTTCTACGACTTTGACTTCACCGCCTCCTGTAAGTCCATCTCCGTATTACGGAGTGTTTAGAATGCTTTTCGGAAGATGGGAGCAGGCAGCTGACTCTCTTTCTACAAGACGGGAGAAGGGAGGGGCCATGCATAGATTTTTTTTTATGAAAGGCAAAGTTCATCACTTATTGAGAGCGGGCAGCCTGTCAAGGCGGGGTTATCAGTAATCTGTGATGCCCTCGCACACGTCGTCATAGCAACCCGTGTTCTCTGAGATGACTCATGCTTTTTCACACATTAGATAACATCAGAGTTATCAGGAGAATTAAAAAATAATAGTTAAAACTTTTTTTTAATATGGTTTTATTTGAAAGTTCTCCTCAGGTTCTGATGAACTCATGTTTTAAAAGGAAATTATGCATTCAATTGCAAACGAGTTTCCCACGGTGTGTTTATTTCCGTAACTTGTGTCCCAGCTGCAGGACGTGAACACGTGCCTAGCTGGGTCTGGGTGGCTGCAGGGATCTTCAACTTCTTAGCCTACACACTGGGTGAGTCCTGACCTCTGCCCCCCCTGTGTTTGGTTTTGTTTTCCTTCTCATCAGAGACAGGGCTGGCCGAAAGCTGCCTCTAAAACAAACTGGACATTAAACACTTTGCAGTTATGGCAAAAATCCTTGTGGTAGGGATCGAGCCTCTTCATGTTTACATTGTAAAAAAAATGATAATAATGTGAGGAAGACCTGGCATCAAAAAGCAGCTCAATACAGCCTGAACCACCAACAGCGCATTCAGATTTGAAGTTTGCGTTCTGGGCCGAGGCCTCGCCCTTCAGCGATCTCCCCTCGCTAATCTGCGCTGAACTTCAGACTTCAGAGCCAAACGGGAGGCTGAAACCAGAAAAAAAGAAAAAGAATGGTTGCATCACGATGCAGGAATTGAAAAAAACACACCCTACTGAGGTGTGTCCCTCAGGTCTTTCGGTGGACAGGAGGTCCCACAGGATGACTCTCCTGGAGCCTTTGGCTGTGCGAACCATCAGCAGCTCAGTGCTCAGACGCTGGAATTCTGCTGACGCTGAACAGATATGTGAGAGTGGGCAGCTTCAGCTGAGATGAGATGCCCCCACCTCCCCTCTCAGTTCCTTATAGAAACAGCCCACCGATCTGGATCCAACAATCCGTGTCTTTGTTTGCTCTGCACAGATGGCGTGGATGGCAAACAGGCCCGCCGCACCAGCTCCTCCACCCCTCTCGGGGAGCTTTTCGACCACGGCCTGGACAGCTGGGCGTGCATCTTCTTCGTGGCCACCGTCTACTCCATATTTGGGCGCGGGGAGAGCGGCGTGAGCGTGGCCACCCTCTACTACATCCTGTGGGTGGTGCTGTTCTCCTTCATCCTGTCCCACTGGGAGAAGTACAACACCGGCATCTTGTTCCTGCCCTGGGGCTACGACATCAGCCAAGTGGTAAACACACCCCGCAGACACACCCACGCTCCAAGAAGGGACAAAAGAAAAAAAAGCCATTTAGATGACAAGCCCCCGTGTTTATAAAGACACACGGTGTGCAAACAGATGTGAGGGGAAGTTTGAAATTTCATCTCCTGACGTTAGGGAAACAAAAGAAGCTCCTCTGGTTTGGTTAGTTTTTGTTTTTCAACCTCCAGTATATTTCCTGCTGTTTGACTTGAATTGGCATCATGTGACAGCTAGCTCTCTCCACTGTCAGAAGCTATTTCAGCATCTGCCTCTGATCCACGGCTACATTTGTACATTTAAATGTCCTGAAACCTTTGAAGCTCACCAACACACTCAATCGTGTTTCTTTTGAATGTCTTAAAGGGGACAAAATGAGTGTTTTGTTATTACATGCATATTTGATGCCAGCTTGACGTCCTCTGGCCCGTCTCCTTCCAGACCATCTCTCTAGTGTACTTGGTGACGGCCGTGGTGGGCGTGGAGACCTGGTACCAGCAGGTGTTGTGGAGCTTTCTTTACAGGGACGTGTTCACTTTTATGATCATAGGTGAGCTGTGTTTGATTTCTCAACATGGACTCATACGTTCACCGTTAGCAGCTAGCTAACGTGGCGCTCTGCTCCTTTCCAGCCTGCTCCTTCACGGTGACCCTACCCATGAGCCTCTACAATTTCCTCAAGTGAGTAAATTGCAGCCATTTGGAGGAAGGGGGGGGGTTGTATGTTATTTTCCAAAAGCAGTGCTCTGATGTTTGCCCTCTGCGGGCCTCCAGGGCCCACCGGAGCAACACCCTGAAGCACAGCAGCTGCTACGAGGCCTTCCTGCCCTTCCTCTCTCCCGTGCTCCTCTTCGTCCTGTCCACCGTTTGGGTGGTGTGCTCGCCGTCCAACATTCTGGAGCTGCAGCCCAGGGTTTACTACCTCATGGTGGGGACGGCCTTCGCCAACGTGACGGTGAGCGTCCGCAGCTGTGTGTGCGCATGTGTGTGTAGAGAGACCTTCAGACTCTCTCTTTCTCTGGAACCTAAAAATGCTGGACTTTAGCAGCCACATTAAATCAGTAACAGCGGCCTTTTCCTCTTTAGTCAGAGGAACGGTGTGTAAAAATCAGACCTAGAAAGACAAATCCATGGGCCTGCAGCAGGTTAGAGCACTGTAACGGCCTGCTCACTCTGCTCTCTAAACCAGCTTTAAGAACTGCATCCAGAACGCGGCCGCTAGACCACTGCCCAGAACCAGGAAATAGGACAACATGAGTCCAGCGCTCAGGTCTCTGCTCTGGCTTCCTGTCGCCCAGAGAACAGACTCTAAAACAGCTCTGTGGACAGAATGTACATTCCTGGCACGTTAGAGCCCTGTGAACCAGCTGGGACTCTGAGAACCTCAGGTTCTGGTCTCCTGCTGGTGCCCAGAGTCAGAACCAAACAAGCAGAGGCAGTTTTATGCTCCTAAAATCTGGAGAAAGTGAGACAGGCCTCAACTCTGACAGTGTTTGAATCCAGACGGAAAACGGTTCTGTTTAACTCTGCATGTGGACACTGAAAGTATTTTACCTGCGCTCCCCCTCAGTGTAAGCTGATCGTGTGTCAGATGAGCAACACGCGCTGCCAGCCGCTGAGCGTGCTGCTGCTGCCCATGGCCGCGGTGGTGCTGTCGGCCGTGTCGGGGCTGGTGGCCAACGAGGCACTGCTGCTCTACCTGTGGACGGCCGCCGTGGTCCTGGCCCACATACACTACGGCCTGTCGGTGGTAAGCCGTCCACACGCCCCAAAGCAGGAAAACGTGTCAAACCGAGCTCGGAAGAAAAGCCTTAACACCCCCCTCTCCTCCTCCTCTTCCCCCCCCCCCCCTCCTCCTCCTCCTCCTGCTTGTCGTTGTGGCAGGTGCAGCAGCTCAGCAGCCACTTCAACATCTTCGCCTTCTCCCTGAAGAAGGCCAGCAGCGACTGACATGAGGAGGAGCGGATCGGCCTGACGGCAGCAGAGGAGTAGGGCGCCCCTCTCTTTCTGCTCACCGACACCACCCCCCACCCCCCGCCCCGCGTCGCCACGGAAACCGCATCCCCTCCCCTCCATCCAGAAAGGTCGCCTCAAGCAGAGCGGGCCGCCGCCCTCCTCTCTCACACACACACACACACTCACACACACACACACTGGTACACACATTCCCAGAGTGAACTTAATCTCTGGCCTCAATGGTGAGATGGTATCAAGGGAGGGGGGGGGCTCCGGCATCCGTCACAGGCGATTGGCTCAACTTGGTGGAGCCAACGAGGTGCAATTGTTTCCTACGGAAATGCGCTTCACGCCGTGGGGACAGAAGCCCGGACGGCGGGCCCCGATAGGCAAGCGCGTATTTAATCCTTCTCTCACCGTCATATCCCGCCCCCCCATATAACCCGGTCTCAACTCTCAAACTGTCAGTCTGTTCTGAAGATGGACAACCAGCTGAACACAGAGCTCTGCTGGCTCTTGGCGGCGGGTGTTTGACACAAACACAGCCACCGCCGCACGGTTTTACTCTCATACTTTCATGAATGTACGGTCTGCCCGGGGGGAAATGTCACTTCAGTTTCATTACGAGCAGGACAGCCTCCAGTCATGCTCCTCTTCTTTTTTTTTTTGTTTGTTTTTTGGTAAATCATCAGAAGATTTGCATTTGGGATCCTGTTGTAATATTTGGAATTACTCATATATGTCTATGTATATGCAATGTTTATATAAGGGGAGTGCTGTGTCTTATTTTCAAACTGAAATGGAACTAAAAAACGAAACAAAGAGGATTTACTCCTGTGAAATACTGTAAACATGTCCCTCTAGTCCACTGGACTTTGCGCTCTGCGGGCCAGCAGAGTTGGCGGCTGGCTGACCGGAAGCAGGAGTTGACCAGTGTTAACCTCTTCTAACCTTCTACCCCCCCCTTCCCCTTCCCCACTGAGGTGTCGTGCTTTCACGCCTATTCGCTCTTTTATTGCGCCTGTTTATTTTCTGTTGGGGTTTTTTTTTGTCGTTTTTTTTATATCCGTGTCTGGCCTCTAAAGGAAGCGGCGCGAGGCTTGAATGAAGAGCGCGTCCAAAAGCCGGCGCCGGAGCGGGCGCGCTCTGAGGGAACAAGCCTCCGCGCGAGCCCCTAAATCGTCTCCACCTCTTCTTTTACACCGTCGCAGACCTCATCTCGTGTTTTTCCGGGTGTCGCGAGCGGTCGTCGGTCGGAACCCGGCCCGGTGCAGCATATCCGGAAGCTCGTTTTCAATTTGTTTGTTTTTCCAGATTCGATGGGACCTGGTTTTTTTTCCCGGGTCTCCGTGGTCGCGTGGCCCAGAAATCTCTTCCGCTGAGAAAGCTGCTGACACGCCAAAGGTTTTCTGTCAGTCGCCTGGCAGAATCTTACTGCCCCGTCACAGTAACGGTCACCGGACACAGTCCTCGTGCCGTGGTGCTTAAACTTATACGGTCAACTTTGGGATGAGAGGATCTCTCAGCTCCAGCTCAGTCCTCCGGATGCTCGGCGGATGAAACCCTTTTGGGTCCTGGTGGAGATCACACAGATATCACAGGAGGTCAAAAACGGTTCTCTTTAGTCCATAAAAGTCTCACTTTTGACTTTTGGCATTAACGATTGTTCTGATGAGGAGACAACTGTGATTTCCCCCCTTTTGTTTTAGGGTCTTTTGATTGTTTGTTTGTTTGTTTGTTTGTGAGTTTTTGCACTGTCTGAGTCTGTACAGCCCCGCCCGTGAGCGTCTAAGTGTGAGTGTTGTGTGAATGAGCATGTAAATATGTGTATTATTCATTTTTAATTTAATTTTAAACTACAGCCGGGGTTGAGGTTTGGTGGGCGAGCTGCTGCAGCACTTACTTCTGTCCATGTCAGGGTCTTTGCTTTCTTTTGGTTTCTTTGTTTTTGTGTCTTGGAATGTTTTTGTTTTGTTTTTGTTTTCTCCACCTAACCAGGTTTTCTTCTGTCGATTCCTTTGGAAAAAAAAGACCCAACAAAAGATACAGAATGAAGTGAGAGATGGAGCCCAGTTATCTGGGCGGGAAAAAAACAGCAAAACAAACAAAGTGTCTGTCGGCAGATCAGTTCTTCTTCACTTTATACGAAGAACAAATGGACCGATGTTGATTTTCCCAGTTTGTTTTCTTTTTGTTTTTTGTCTTTTGTTTTTTTAAAACGTTGCTTTGTTTCACTCTATAACTTCATGGACCAGCAGTGGATGGGGACTGGCCTGTTGTGTGACGCTGCTCCGGGAAACGCTCCAGAGCTCGGCTGTGGATATTTGTGGCGTGGTGTTTTACCAGTGAAGGGAAGAACTGTCCAGAAACAAATAAACGTCAACTTTTTTCTCTTTTTTTTTTTAAAATTGTACTCTTTTTTTTTTTTCCCCTATACAGTTGAATACATGCATGATGAAGATGATGAAGGGGGACACCTTATTGTCAGTGTAACTTCGATCAGTTTGGACTAGAACTGGGTCTCTGGTTGGAGTACAAAATGTTACTTTTGGAGAGAGAGCACACGGTGTTCCTGGATAAGACGGTGGTGGCATCATGGTCAGGGGCTTATCCGCTGCATACTGGCCAGGACCTGTCCGTATCACTGATAGGAGACTTAAATAAACCAAAGAATTCTTTTGTCTGAACCTTTGTGGGTCATGCAGCTAAAAATTAACCTAAACACACACAAGCTCTCAAACTAAGGAATATTTACAGATGAAAGAGTTCAAATTAAAAGACCAAAAGTACAACTTTAAAGATTTTATTTAAAAAAACAAAACAATGATCCGGTAAATTGAAAGGTTTATTTAAATAGATTTAGGACTGAGTTTCATTCTGTTGAAAGGATCTGTGATCTAAGCTGTGACCCCCAATGAACAAAGATACAACCAACCCAACATTTGGCCAAAAAGAAAAACCAAAGGGTAAACATGCTTGTTCTTTCTCCATTTGTGTGATAGAGGAGACTTAACTGTTTCGTGTCTGAAGTGCTGCTGCGTGTTCGATCCCGGAGGCTGAGGAAGAAGGTACAAATATGGATACTATTGTGATTTATTCGGTTATACTTTGGTATTCAAGCGTTTTGCATAGTACTGCAGCAGAAATAAAAGTAATTTTGTATTGTTCCAATGCAGAGAACCTCATCAGATGATAGGAGATAAGCAGTGGTTCAGGCATCTGGAGGCAATTTAGACTTCTTCCTACCCCTACCTCTAATCCACACCTTTAACCCCCATCAGATCTAACCAGCTGTGTAATATTTAACCATATTTCACTCTGACTCTCAAATTTGAGCCACATAGAAAATTGTAAGATGTATCCGTAGCTTGTGTTTTGCCATCACCGGAGTGATGCAGGGGGACTTCCCATCCCGGACTGAGCACATCTCCACATTACGCTGGTATGTAAACTATTTTTTAAACTATTTGTCCCCTAGGTGCGTTTAAATTTTGATTCTTTTTCAAAAAGTCCTGTCCTCACAACCCCCTACTTGGCTGCCCTTCCTGAGTTTGGCTGTGCTGGAAATTTCTTGCCGTTAAAAGGGAGTTTTTCCTCTCTGTGCATGCTCCGAAAAGGGAATTGGATCATTGAGGATATTTGTAGCAATCCGTCTCTTTTTTGTAGATTTTGTAGTTTTTTAGATTCACTAATCTTCTAGTAACTGAAGCAGATTATACCACTGTAAATGTGGGGGATTATCCATCAAATGAAGGAAGGGGCCATCCATTCATCCATTTCCTGTACCGTCTTTGTCCAACAGGAGGATGAACAAACGATCACCAGCACAACATAAAACATCCAGCAGATGGAGTCACAGATCAGTAGATTTCTGCCTCCTGCTTCAGTTCAGGGCTGTCAGTAAGCGGGAGCCTTCCATCAGCCCACAGCTCCCTCCAGAACGACTCTCACAGGTAAAGCAACAGTTGGCCCTTTTATGGTCTCCATCCCAGTACGAGCAACATGTGCTGAACTTAACACCTCTGACTCACGTGGCTCCGCTCTCTTTTACAGACTTCATTAGTAACCGATATGTATTGGTGCTGGCCAGCGTGTCTGGCAGCAAAAAGCTCGGTGTTTTTTGTTTTTCAATATCTCTGCACTCCGAGAAACCCCGCAAAAACAGCCCCCCCGAGAGATTACGAGTTCAAGGGGAAAAGACTGATTCAAAGTCCTGCAAAGATTCAACAGAGAAATCAGAAAATCCTCAAATGCTTCCTAGAGCAAGTTAGCAGGAGTCTGACTGGCCGTTAGTGGACACTCGTGTGTCACAGAGAAACAGCTGGCAGCTGATCAGGACCATTTTCATCCAGAAATATCACTTTCTTCGAGCATTGAAAGAGTGAGTGGAGAGTAAAGCCTGCCTGTTTCTTTACATATTTAATACCTGATGCAGCAGGGGGTTTAAAAAAAGGATTCATGAAGTCCATTGTCCAGAATCCTGGTTGTGCTTTTGGATTTCAAATAAATACAAGCATTTATTTTCAATCGATCCATCAGAATTGATCAATTAATTTGTAAAATTAGACAATTGAATTAATAGTTCATTAATTAATTTGCACTGGTTGAAGTTTCCTATTGTACAGACTTTGGAGAAGAGCTATTTTTAGTCTTTCCACTTTTATTAAACTTGAGTGGAGCATCGTAATAACATTCAGCCAAAGACCTGGAAGTTTGAAAATCCCTTCAAAGTGTTTGAAATTCACTTTATTGTGGATAATCCACCCGAAATAGAATCAGAGATTTTGAAAACGATTCTCTCCACAGCTGGATTTTTGTCATGCTGTGTTGTCCACGATTGTGTTAACACCGGTCTCTAACTCTGGACCTGTTTTAATTACTGGTGAAGGGATCCTTTTCATAAAGTTCCGTTAAATTCCACTTATTACTCACCTTATTTATTACACATTTAGCCACCTTCAGATGAGTCCCTGTTCTCCAACAGCCTGACTTCT